ATGTTCTTAATAACGTTAATATAATTAAATAAAAACTATATTAAAAATAGCGTAGACGTAGCTCACTTACAACGGGTTTTATAGAAAACCAGGCTTTGCTTGGAGCAGCGTTTCCGAGCCGAAAAGCTCTTCTTCTCGGAGCCGTCGAGCACTCCGGGGCTTCCGCCTCGTGCTAGGGAGGTTCCCTAGGCTTTTCGGGGGATTTCGGGGCTAGAGAGAGGTTCTAGAGAGAGAGTAAAGAGAAGAAAGAATGGGAAAGGTGTGAAGAAAATGAGGGTGGGAGAGGTGGTATTTATAGGGTGAAAATGGCTGAACTTGGTGCCACATGTCACCATCTAGTGGCAAGACTTGGGGAGAAAGCAATGGCCAAGATTGTGCCACATCACCCATTTTCGCATAGCACACTTCCGACTTCTAAAATCCGTAACTTTCACATACGACCTCTGTTTTTGACGTTCTTTATATCCACGCGTAGGTAAAAATAATATCTACAACTTTCATTTTGACTCCGTCGGCTAATTCTCGACCGATCTTAAATTTAACAGTACGAGGCGTTTAGACTGTTAAATGACCGCGAAGAATTCGTAACTCCTTCATACCGACTCCGTTTTCGTCTGTATTTTTACCGTTGAGTTCCTATTAATGAGATCTTGAACTCTCATTTAGGTCACGTAAGCCAAAAACCGCTCGAACTAAAATTCGAGTTTCGGGTCGTGCACTGCTAAGCCGAATCTTAGAAAAATCATAACTTCCTCATACGAAGTCAGATTTGGGTGTTCTTTTTATCGACGCTCTTAGTTTAACATATTCTACGACTTTGGTTTAGATTGCTAAGGCTAAAAAGTCTTCTATTGTGAATTCACTATTTACGTCTTCCGGTGTCGTGCCGGTTTTGCCGTAAAACTTCGGCGGGCCATAACTTCTTCGTTATAACTCGGATTTCGGCGTTGTTTATATGTACGGAAACCTTGTGACATAATCTAAAACTTGGTTAAGACTATTCATTCTAAATAATCTTTTGTCGAAAAGTCATGTTTGACACCTATTGCCTCTAAATTGACTAGCCCGGATCTGCGGGCGTTACAACCGACTTCTAATTCCATCTTATACATGTGTGCACTCCGCACAAATCCATACATATATTAGAGTACAAATTATGAAAGCCCCTTAATTCACATATTAGTTCCAATTACATAAAATGATCTGATGACACTAAAATCACCAACAATTTGTGCATACTTTTGCAATTTATGTGAAAACATTAACCTCCTTATTTTGTTTTCATTTAATCTATTTAGCTAGTGTTTATACTCTTGATTTAAGGAAAAGGTTTACGTTTTTTGACTTTTAATTACATAAAAAGCCATAGGAAGTGGTATGGAATTTTTTAGAAAGTTGAGTCATTGATAATGATCGTCTTGAGATCAAGGAACCCACCAATCAATAAAATATTTCATCAGGTTGTTGAGATTATGTGTTTGTCTTAGAAAGAAAGTAAAAGAAGGTGGTTTGGTTAAGAATTTTAAATAATAAAATTCTTTAAAATCATTTATACGTGATGCTTTTTCTCTGTATAACACTTGATTTGCATCTACTTTAGGTACAAGCTGGATGTAAATATAGAAGACATGATGCTTAGGCCCGATGTTTAAAGGAGTATATGATTGTACACTTTTTACAAGGGTGTTTTTGTTTTAGATTTTACTAGTGTAAGTTCCTTCTTCTTGTTGTTCTTTGTTTAAGGTCCTTTGAGTAATTTACCACTAGGTGTTGTTATAATGGTGGTGTTGATAAAGCAAATTGTTAATCTTTACAGAGAAGAAGAGTAGAAGAGTATGAGGGTTTTTGGTTGACTTTTGGTGAAGAAGAGGCGGTGTGAAGAAGATAACATGCTAATTGAACTTTGTGACCTATGCCAATATTCAATGCCTAAATAATGGCTATGTTGGTGGGCAAGGCTTAATCTAACAGTAAAATGGATAGGGGTATAATGGGAACAAGATAGCCGAATGATTGCCTTTATTGAATGAATAAAACTGGAAAAGGTTAGTTCTACTTAAGAGTTAAAACAATGAACTTTAAATAGGCTAAATACAACTGAAAATAGAAAAAATAGCAACAGATCTTTTATTGGGCAAGTAGCTCACATGCCCTTTTATTCTCCTGATTACTTGGTCAGCATTGACTATCATTTCTCCCCCCTCAATGTTGACCTTCTTTTTTAGACATTCCACACCTATGAGTGCTCTCATTTCAGTAAATTTGATTCTTGGCATTGCTTTTGTCAACACATCTGCCTTTTGTTGATCTCCGCTTACATGCTCCACCTGAATATGCTCTCTTTCAACACACATACGAATGAAATGATACTTTGTATTATCAAACCAATTTTTTTTTATTATTATTTTATTTATTTATTTATTTATTTATTTTTTTGGAAAACTAGAGAAATATCCAGAATAGGACTATTTTTGATTTGTTTACCATACCATCCTACTTTTATTATTTCCCATTACTTCAAAAAGTCTACCCAAATATATCCATGTCATCCGAAAACTAAGCAAAAATCGGGTGTCGACCTAATAAGAAGAAAAATTGAAAACTAGTATAACAAACTTTTTATATAATCACAAACAACGAGCAACAATCATAAAAAAATGTGAACAATGACCTACATATTAGATTGATACAAAAGTAACCTGTAAACCCTTTTGAAACATGGATGAAAGTTGAATGACCATGTGATACCGTTTAATAGGTTAAATACAAGAAATAACAATATACTTTTGTTTAGCATAACATTTCATTTTCCCCATTACAACAATGTATAGTGGTAAAATTGTCCAATTATACTAATGTATTTAAAATAGAAATAACTACAATGCCTGGTAAAAAAAAGTACAGTGAAAATAGGATGTTATAATAGGAAAATATACCTTCATTTAATTACTATGGCATCGTACTTTAGTGATTAGTCCTAGTTATCTACCTAATTCAGAAACAAAAAAAAAAAAAAAAAACGAATTAATAAAGAAAGTCATGAGAATGAGGTTTTTCTCATTAAGTCTCTTTCTGCTTACATTTCACAATTTTTTTTAAAGGTAAATCTAATTTACTCTTGAACTACTCCAAATTCCACCTATGTCCAGGGTTTGAACCTTCGACCTTAAGAAGGGAGGACAACACCTGGTGATAATGATATTGCTAGACAAGATGCCCTTTGATCTTCCATTTAAAAACAATACAAATTATTTTTGTAAAATAATTTTTAAACATCATTATCCAAAGAGTATATCATAATTGCATTAACTACATCATTTTGCAAAGTATGCTTGCAATATATGATGTGTTATCCAATAGACAATTTCTTTTTGGGAATCATGGTTTCACATAGTGGAGACCATTCAGAAAACCAATTTTGCTAACTCTCAAAACTTATATTGCATAATCGGTGGTCATTTTAGTTGACTACCCCACCTATTTAGTCAATCAAACTAATGTTTCAGGTCTTAAAGTTCTTTTCATGAGTTTATTCATCACTAAGAAGTGTTTAAGCCTTGATTTAACATCACTTAATGGAACATCTGGAGCCTTCTTTGAATTCACTAACCATGGGTGATCTGCAATTGAAAGATAGAAGTAAATTAACGACCACTTAATAGATTTTACTTTTTTAGATTAGTACCTCTTTTGATAATCTGCAGCCAAAAAGATTATGAAGCAGATATAAAGCGCGTTATAAAAACAAGTTGTTCCTGCCCGGGATCGAACCGGAGACCTTTAGCGTGTAAAGCTAACGTGATAACCACTACACCACAAGAACATTTGTGTTTGTAGTATAATCTTTGATTATATATTTTTTAACAAAAAGTCGAGATTATTTGTCATTTTTTTTTTATCAACTTTAAACAATAATAGATTTAGAAAAGTATGCAACCTGATCGTATTAATATATTTGATAGTAATAAAATAATATACAATGCTATTAAAATTGAGAAACAAATCACATTTGGGGTTGTATAAAAGATTTTTTTAGTAGTAAATTGAATATGGTAAATTCGTGTTTGTGTACAAGAATAGCCCATATACTATTGACAGTTACAAAATACACTAATAGTTATAAGCTTAGAGGATTTGTTTTTATAGGATGGTTTGGTTTAATTACTAATAAGATATTGTTCTACCCTTCTTCTTTGACCCAAGAGAAATGGTCAATGGTTCGAATCATAGAAGTATATGACTTCTTATAGGCATTGTGGTCTTATGTGAGCCAACATGTACGTGATTTATATATCTCATGATAACACAACGTGGGTTAGCTAAAGGGTCGTGAAAGAATTACCATTTTGAAGAAAAAAATGATCATTTCTTCCCCAACATGTGTAACACATGTATAAGTCTATAGGAGGAAGAAATTTGACTATGGGGGGGGGGGGGGAGAGAGAGAGAGAGAGAGAGAGAGAGAGAGAGAGAGAGAGAGAGAGAGAGAGAGAGAGAGAGAGAGAGAGAGAGAGAGAGAGAGAGAGAGAGAGAGAGAGAGAGAGAGAGAGAGAGAGAGAGAGAGAGAGAGAGAGAGATGGCTTGGGTTTGGGTAAGGAGATGGGATGGGGCCTTTTCAATTAATATTAATATAAAATATAGAATAAATAATAATAAAAAGTGAGAAACAAAATCATAAATGACAAAATAATCATTTTACATCTCCTAGGGGAAAATGTAGAATTTTTTTTTTTTTACCAAAATGTACAAAAAAATTTACCACATGGAAAATCCACTTAGAAAAAAAAAAAAAAAAAGATGATGACTGAGAATACGTAACTTTACCCAAAACTCACAAGGACCATTCGTGTATGTGCATAATCTTACGGAAGAGTCATTTCATTAAAGGTTACATGAACATCGTGTAAACATTTAAACCAAATCTATATATATTAAATACCTTACAAACAATTTTTAAAATACATTCTTTTTGCAACTACAATATCATCAACCTCCCATTTTCAAAGCTTCCAATATATCCGAAATTTGTGTAGGATCCCCGAAAGCACTCCCCAAAACACAATCTCAGCAAATATGACATATAAAAGCATCCCAAATTTCTCCGAGTTCCACACGTCAATGAAAACATGACTTTGTATCCAGTTTACAAGATTGTTATCAGGGTTCTTATACCACCATCCGTTTACAAATCCTGCTAAAATTCCTTGTGCTCCAAGCACAAAAACTAACATAGCGTTCATACCAATCCATTCAAACAGCAAAAATGGAGTCCGTTTTCCCCACACATCGATCTGAAAATATATTAAACAAGATAGTTTATTACAAAAGATTCTTTCTCTATTTTATAAAATTCATTAAAGGTTGAATGTGATGTTAAACAAATAGCTGATTCATGATTTACAAATGATAGAAAAATATGGTTACCAGGATGTAGAAGGCTGAAAATACTATTCCAGCAGCCCCAGCAGTGAAACAAACGTAGCTGATACTATAGAGTTGCTTGTTTATAGGAATGGCTACATAAAAATTGGACAACATTAGGATTAAAGCTAAAAAATGGATGGGTTAAATGTAAAGTAACAATGTACTTTTTTTTTTTGTTCTCTTGTGTATTATAGGAACGCACTTCGATTTATTTTATTACAGTATCACACTTTCATTTTCTTGGGGTACTTTCAAAGTTGTATCAAATTTGGCGTTAATGTACATTCAAGTTTTTTGTTCTTATTAAATTGACCAAAATGGGTGGCCCAAATTGACAATTTTTTTATTACCATTTTGTTTAACAAAATGACCACCTATCTTGAAAAAACTCAATTGCGAAATCCAAATAACTTTTTTACTTTTAACGATAAAAGGATGCAAAAACTTTATTTATTTATTTATTTATTTATTTATTTATTTATTTTTATTCTCGCTAAATGACATCATCATTTTGCAATATTATGTATTTTGCAAAATATGATTTTCTTTTTGAAATTCTTTAAGTATTTTTGTGCATGGGACCATTTAAAAAGCAATATTGTGAAATTGGTGACATTGTTAAATGAACCATACCCTTTTGGTCATTATTGTGATTATCCCAAAAATAACACTAAGATGCTAAAGCAAATTGAAAGGATGTTGTTATATGTTGCATTCGATTCGGAATGGATTGGTTAGTTAGGGGTTATAAAAACTTGTGGATATACCATCAGTGAAATGAAGAAGAAGGGCTATGATGATCAATCCAAACCCCATTGAAACCCATTGCTTGAGCCTCTCCGCATGTCCCTTGAAGTGAATCAAGACATGTCCATAGTGAATGCCAATAACACCAGATAAAATTGATGAGATTGAACTGTAATATTAAATCATGATATGATTAGATTCGCGAAGTTTTTAAAAATGGGTGAAAGAAAGTTTTTAAGTGTACCTTAATAGGCCTTCTGGTTCAAAGGGAGCACGACACCAATTTGGGGCATCTGGACGAAGGTCGCCTGCTTCTGGAGAGCTAAGAGTGCAAGCCTATAGTTTCAAGAATCAAAAACCTTGAAACATGGTAAACGTCCATGGAATACAAAATTTTAAGAATGTGTTTGTTATACGGGACATTATTGGACTATACAAAATTGAAGGTTGTGATTAGACAAGCTTTCTAGGGTTATTTTCCATGATGAGGGTATTCATGTCTTTTTCGCATATACGTAAGATCGATAGAAATGTTTTGGACAAAAAATGCAACTTTTGTACCATTGACAAGATTTGTAGAGTTATTCTGGACGATGAAGATGGGGAGGGTATTCATGTCTTTTGCATAGACGTGAGATTGAGAGAGTGTCCACGTTCCTCCTTTTTGGATAAGATAAGAAAATTGAAAATTGTCCCATTGACTTCAAGTCCTTAACATAAGCTTTCTAAATCTATTTTGATGACGAGGATAAAAAGGAATTAAAACCTTTTGCACAATCAAAAGATCTAGAAGAAGTCTTGTTCCATCTTTTTGGGTGTGAAAGAAACGACATTTTTTTTTATCTCATTTATGGTACATGACTATGTGGTGGGACGATACAAACTTTCTAGGGTAATTTGGATGATGAAGATGAGTGGATGAGAAAAGGACATTCTTGTCTTTTACATAAGATATGAGAGACAATACCCCAACTTGTTTTTTATGCCACTAACATCCGTCTTAGTCTTAATCCAATCAAGTGCACTCATAATAAAACTAAAACTGGATAAGTATTTTGTTATGTCATGTCATGTCATGTCATGTCTAGCTTATCAAATTCTGTTTAACTAAAAAACGAAAAACAAACCTTCAATCGAATCCATACGGGTTGCGTGTAAATATGATTAATACCCCATACTTCTCTATCGACATAACCAACCGCATTACAAGCAGGCCCAAGATGTCCTCTCATACCACATTTAACCTGAAAATCGACACGTTCTTTTAAACATGAACTTCTTTTTCGATTTTATGAATTCTTTACCTAAACATAAAGTTAAACCATTCAAACTTACAGTAAAAGTCTGTGATTTATGGTCATCATGAACAGTGAAACTCCAATCTGGAACATATAGAGCATATGTCGTGATCACATATATAAGAAACGCAATGAACCCTCCAAGCCTAATTGAAAGAAAGAGTGAAATGACAAAAATACCCTTTAGAAATCAATTAAATTAAGTTAAAATAGGAAATGTATTAAGACTTACCATTGCCATCTATAGGCCGAGAAAATGGAGAAATGGCCAGGATCTATAGTCGTTGGTCTGAGCTTTATGGTTAAAGCTTCTATTAAAGCTACGACTAGGTACACCAGTGCTATTCTCTGTGAAAATACAATATTATATTATTGCATTTATAATTGTGCGCTAGGATGCATCAGACTGTATTATTCTTTATGGATATGACGATACAAAACTTCACGGATTAAAAAGCTTGACTAAATGTTGTGTTAGGTTTAGAAAAGATGAGAAATGAAACTTTTATGTCATATTCATAAAAATCAATATAACATAGAAAGGGAAATTGTAATTTACTTTGAATTATATATATACCTGAAGTATGCCACACCATCTAATTTGCTTCATGTCAACTCCATAGACCAATTCATCTGGTGCATGTGAGTACCCGCCTGCACAAACAATTAAAAAAAATATTTAATATGTGAAATGACCAAAACACCCTTTCGGATCAAGTTTAGTAGATTACCTTGCAAGAGAATTCCCCAAAACAACATCTTCAATGTTCTTATGATTATCTTTCTCACTGCGTACCTCCTACTTGGAACCCTCTGCAAAGCCAAAAATTGGTTAGGATAATAATAATCGCATTATTATTATTATTATTATTATTATTATTATTATTATTATTATTATTATTATTATTATTATTATTATTGAACCTTGAGTGCAAGGGCAATTGCGACCCCGACAATGAAGAGAAAAAATGGCATCACGAAATCAGCCAACGTGCATCCGTTCCATGGAGAATGATCTATTCGTTCATATACACCTCCAGCATCATCTACTAATATCATAAGCTGAAAATTAAAGAAAAATAATAAGTGTTGCTTCTATGATATTTGCTAAACTATGCCAAAGCATTAGTATACTACAATAAATGCTTGAAATAACAAAGAACTTGTATATATATGTCTGTTATAGAATCATACTTTCGTTTCTTTGTACTAGAAGAATGTCATTTCATTTTATTTTCCTTGCTAAGTCATTGTAGTTACTCATTTAACACATTGTAGTGTCATTGTTATATTGTTAGTATATTAGGGCATATACAATGTAATGAACTCTTTACAGTTTAATGACCGACCACATCATTTGTCTACTTTACATATAAATTTACATACAACTGACCAAAATTTTCTGAAACTGCTTTGAACTCCATAATTTTATTTATTTATTTATTTATTTTATTTTATTTTTAAATATAAAATGCATTGAATTCTATAAAGTTCAATGAGATGTATTTAAAAAAAATTATTTCTAAAAAAACTTTCCTATTTCATTTGAAGTGTTCATCAATTATTAAACTCTATATCCGCAAATATGACATTTACGATAATAAAGTTTAATTCATTGAATGTTAATTAAGTATGTCATCTGATTCAACTCACCATTAAACACTGAATGCTTTTACATTTAAACATGAATGCTTTTACATTTAAACATGATATTCCATATTGATAGAGTTATATCATTGATTTTAGTTTAATATGCCATGCACCTTATTCATCTCACCCATTAAACTATGCACTACGAATGCTTTTATATTTTGAAAATTTTACTCGTTCATAGCAATTATTTGGATGACATTGCTAGAACTCAGTACATATTTTCAAATTATAATGTTGTAATAGGAAGATTTGAAAGCATGGTGTTATAACAAACGTATAACTAAAGATACGATGCTTATTTATTTACTTTTTCCTTTTTTCATTTAGCAATATACCCGTAACCTACACAAAACATGTTTAAACTTACTACAATCGTAAGTCCTCGGAATGCATCCAAAGTCGCGATCCTCTTGCTCTTTTCCTTGACCAATATCGGCTTTTCAACACCTTTGGTTTCATCATGTTGTTCTGCTGCCATTTCACTCCTCTCTTTCACGTCTTCTCTTTCAACTTTTTCTTCTGCAGAGATCTGACCATGACCGAACCCTTCTTCCACCCTCTTAGGATCCTCCATGATCATCAAACTCCTCTTCTTTTCTCTTACAAATAAACACTTTTTACCTTAATTAGCAAGTGTAGGATATCTAAGATTCATATGTATATATATTTGCTAACAACAATGAATCTTTTTAAATTAAGGTCAAGAGAAAGAGACGAATGTACAGCCGGCCGTTTTAATGGTCTATGAGTTTTGACCAGTTGGTTCAAAAACAAAGAAGAGATCCAAGATGTGATTCGATGGTTAACCAGTAATGGACAACTATACAGACAATTAATTAGTAATCATTGATTTAACCATTAATTTGACACTTGTTCTGGATTCGTGTTGGTGATAGTTGGACGTCTTACGAAGTTAATTATATATGAACACATACGGCTTTGTCAAACCGTTGAGATTCGTTTGAAATATATAATTTAAAAGGTTCTTAATTTGACTCTAATGTTTGTTGGCATCTAGTATATTAACAAATGATCGGCTTTTTGAGTAAGACTTAAGAAATAGTGTTCGGATTAGCTATATTAATATTAGATTTTCAGGATGTACGTTAAGTTACTTTATATAAAAATGCTTTTCGTTGGTTGTAGCATTGATTACTAGTTTGAACTAATAAATTCGTGACACATCAAGAGCAAATCCGTTTAGAAATTTTTCGTAGCCTCAAATTTGTTTCGTATCGACAACCAACTTTTAGTTCCTTATGACTATGCCCATTAACACTGCAAGAAACCCAAGTATTATGTCGCCGCTAAAAGGTCGCCGCTGTCGCTAATGCTCCAAAGATCACCGCTAATACCCAGAGTCGCCTCTAAAAGGGTTATCAACGCTAATACACGTATGTCACCACTAATTGTATTTTCGTTTCTCCTAGTATTTAACATTAAAATTAGAAAAACACTATAAAAACTGACACAAAACATTATTTATAGAAAAATCGTTCGAAACATTAACCACTTAATGCTATATACAACATCCGATCCAAATATTCATCCAAACATAGTGCAATATATACGAAACACTAGTCTAAAATACTAACCCAAACAAAACATTACACAATCCTAAAAGTAGCTACTCGTCCTTATCACTCCCCTCGTTTCCTTGGCTTTCGTTTCATGGTGGCAACAATTGAAACCATTCTTCAAGTGCTGCATTATATGCCATGTCTTTTAGCATTGTTTGCAGCATACCCAACTACAAAGAAAAAATATATATTACAAACATATCATAATAGCATTCTATTTTACAAATTAAGGTCATGATTATTGTATCATCCTACTTTATTTTTTTTAATTATTTTTTTTATTATTTTTCCATTCTAGCATTGTATTTTTCAATACACTTATACATATATCCTATATATATTGAATATATATTTTAGCATTGTATTTTTTTTTTCCGTTTTTTCCATTATAACATTGTACTAGACTAAACAAATAATTACCAAAATACAAAATACCAACATATCAAACTATAATCAAACTACAAAATACCAACATATCAAACTATAACCAAACTATATCCTACACATATTGCATATCCTACACATATTGCATATACATTATAACATTGTACTTTTTTCAAATTTCCAATATAGCATTATGCTATAACTAAACTTACGAAAATATAAGTGAAGTAAATCATTAGAGCATTCTACTTTACAAATTAAGGTCACGATGATTATAACATCCTACACATATTAAATATACAATATAGCATTGTACTTTGTTTTTTTTTTTTTCATTTTCCATTATAGCATTGTACTATACTAAATTAACAATTACATGTGATTGTGGCGGTGGCTGTGTCAACGGTTGTTCCTGATCGTATAACGACACAATCGTAGAAGGTTGACACCCGATGCCTCTGATATTGCCGCATTGAGCACTAAAAAAATCTTTCAAAACAATTTTTATGTCCTCCGATGTTAGACCGCTTGCTTTAGAGGAAGTTTGAGTTTGTTGATTGATCTCTTCGAATAAAGCATTCTGTATTTTAAAAAATGATTAACATTATATATATATATATATATATATATATATATATATATATATATATATATATGAAAATACAAATTAACCACTTACATATTATTGCTCGACTCTAGGACTACAAAATACCCCTTGTTGATCTGTATTAGCCTTACGAAATGTTTCGAGTCTAGTGATGTCCTATTTAACATTAAAAAATAGATTGACATTTTCTTATTGTGCACAAACTCCTTTGTTTTCCACTAAATGCTTTATAAATTTGGCCATTGGAAATGTTCAACAGCTTGAGCCTAGTTTTCACATGGCATACCCTTGAGGGGGGGGGGGGGGGGGAGCTAATACCTAAAGGATATCTATAAGCTCTCTAACACTCTGAAAATAACTATGCGTTTTACTTTTTCGGCCTCTATAAAGTTTTTGTAGAGACGCATCAATGCTCCACAACAACCGAGTACGTTGGGGATCCAAGCTGACCTTATCCAAATCAATCTTTCTATACAAATACAAAAATTTAGTTAATTAAATACCAATCACAAATAAATTAAAAATACTATCATATAAATAATATACCTTAAGATGCACGACTATCGCATTCCTTAAAGCGGGTGAAACATTATCCTAACTATATACGCTGAAAGGGATGCTTTGCCACATATATTACCCAATCTCATGGGTAAACATAATACCACATTTTTGGACAGGGAAAATATGAGTTCTCTTTCAAAATCCAAATCCACAAGCTTTCCCTAGTTTTCTCGTATCGGCTTTAAGTGTTGGATGTTTTAGATAATCCTCTTGTTTTTTGGTAGCTTAATTGAAAATATAATTAAAAATATTAGTTGCGATAATTTATAATAAATAAATAAATAATAGCTAATATATATACCATAAGAAGACTTACAATCCTCTTTGTGTTGTCTGCAACCAAAGCCTACTAGAGGTGGTGGATCCCGCCTCCATCTCCTCCATGTCTTAAGGTCATCACATCAGCCATCATGTAAAAGAGTAGCACCCAACTAAACCCCATATACAATCTACAGAACTATAAGATGTATAATATAGAAACAAAATATGAATAAAAGTTAGCATTGTATATTCCATTATAGCATTGTACTTTCAAAATTGCATATACAAACAAATACACTTTCCATTATAGCATTGTACTTTCGAATTTGCATACAAACACACAAACTCCTTTTTTAATTATTTCCATTATAGCATTTTACTTTCCAATTTTCATACAAATACACACATATTAAGACCTTGTACTTTAGAAATTAAGGTCATGATCATTATTGCATTATACTTTACAAAGTAAGGGCATGATCATTTTTTACATTATGGCCTTGTACTTTACAATTCAAGGGCATGCTTGTTTTATTTCCATTATAGCATCCTAGTTTTTTCATACATGCCATTATAGTATTCAACTCTACAAATTAATGCCACGGTGATTATAGCATCCAACTTTTTTCATCTATTCCGTTATACCATTGTACTTTTCAAATTGCATACAAATACTCAAACAACATACATAATTTTCTATATATGAAAATACACATATACATACTTACTACACATACAAAAACACATATACAAATGTGATACACATAAAAACACACATATACACATACAAATACAAATATACATACATAATACACATACAAATGCACACATACATACACAAAATAAACATACAAATACACATCTACATATACAAAATCAACATTATATATAAAACAAACACAGTAAAGAGAACCTATGGTGGCTAATTCGGTGAGTACGGTAGTGGTGGTGGTATCCTCCGACAACACCAAGGATTCCAGTAAGGGAATCAAAATTCCAACAACCTGTTAGATTAGGTGTCTATGCCCAAAACTATAACTGGTACGTACTTTACCCGAGAGTAGCATGGTACATTTGGGTTGCATTTGTAACATCCTATTTTAGATTGTTCGTGATTGGTGTTGGTGGGTCATGAGTTGGGCGCGAGAAGGTTTCAGTTTGAGGCGAGTTGCTTGAAAGGTAAGGGATCTCATTACTTTTCGATATGTAGGAGGATGTTGGAAACAAAGTTTTATCTTGGAAGCTATGAAAGTTTGCAGGGTTGACAAGTTAAGCCCTTAAATTCAGGAAGTTGGCAACCAAGTACGCTGGGCGTACATAATGCGTACGCTTAGCGTACATATGCGCGTTTTTCTTAAGTTGAGCCACCTAGTACGCTGGGCGTATCGGGGGTACGCTGGGCATACTAGGCACAGAGGAAAACCCTAATTAAATGAAGTATCCCTATATAAAGAAAGAGATGGTCTCATTTTTGGCCACCCTCCTCAGTGGTTAGACCCTCTCAAACCCTAATATCCGTCCTTGAAGTTTGTGGTGGCCATGAATGAGCTTGTTGTGTTCTTGTGGACTTTGGAGAGTCAAGAAGAAGCATGAAAGGGTGTGAAGTCGAAGAACAAGCTGTGAATCCAAGCTTTCTTAGGGCTAGAGCACCATTTGAAGGTATAAAGCTCCAAACTTTCCCTCTCTTTCTATCTTGTGCATTTTAGGGCCCATTTTAAGGTTTTTGGTCCCAAGCTTGAGACTTTATGAGTTGATGCACTCCAACGCTTAATAGCTGTCCTCTTAAGTGTATCTAATGACGAAGAACGATAAAAATGAGATCTTGATCGTGTGAATCTACCGATGCATGAGTTATGAGCATTTTAGGTTATGAAAGTAAGAGTTTTTATGTGTTGTGACCTCACCAGCCATGCAAAGGCTTAAAGTCGATAACTTTATGGAGTAAGAGATGTTAGGAAGTTCAGATCCAAGAGATAAGTCAAGGTCTTAACAGGTTAAGACCCAAAAATGTATTTAAGCAAAATTGAGAGTACGCCCAGCGTAATCCTAGTACGCCCCACGTACTAGGATGAGGTCCCCGATCAGATTTGTGCATGTTTGGGTATGCTGAGCGTACCAAGAGAGGTACGCCCCACGTAACCCCTCTGTGGGATTTTGGACTAGGTGATCTTTTGGGCTTTA